TTGTGGCTTTCACTTTGAAAAAATCTTTCAACATGCCAAAAGTAAAGTATGAGCACAAAATTTGGAAAGAGTGGTTGCATGATGACAAAATTAAAAACTGGGGATATGACCTACTGCAAGTGTGAAATTAAAGCGAAAATACAAAACTTAAAGAGTCATGCAGAGACTAAAAAAGCATAAAACTGCAGTTTCATTTAAAGATATTACATCTGACATCTGTTTCCAGAACTATACTGATAAATGAATCATCAAAATTTGAAGTATCAGTCGCGATGTTTTTAATTTGTCACTGCGCAATTTCAAACTGTGACCATTTGATCGATTTGTAAAAAATCTTGGACTAGTTCAATTTGAAAAGTGTGATGTAGAAAGTATAGTTTGGAACTGAAGGACCTTTTAATCAGCAAACAGTTAGGCTTGAAGAATTTGGCTGTAATTGGTACTGATAATGCCTGAGCGATTGAAGTGAGACAATTTAATGATGCCTCATCAAATAGTCCATTATGTAAGCTCTTTAAAGTGCCATGTCTGCCATGATACTACCCCACTCAAATGCTGACGTAGAAAGAGTTTTCAGTGCTAGGAATTATATCAAATCTAACCTAAAAAACAGGGTGAAATTTGACCTCTTAAATGCTATCGTGCCATTAAAATTCGGCCTGATGAGACTAGAGAAATAAGCCTACTGTTCCACTTATAAAGAAATTTGAACAGCTAAAGCATACCAGTGTCATTTTCGATCTGAAGCTTCAACTTCATTATCCAAGCTAAGTTTATCCTGTGGATCTTGTGAGGCAGACATCAGTGAAGGTGAGGACATGATTATGTAGGGTAAGTCATTACAAAAGCTATGTAATTTTTGACTTTTTCAATGTGGATGTTTTTTCTAGATCTTTTCCACGCAGGTTTAGATCTTTTTAGATATTTTTGGACACCGTTTTGGATATTTTTTGTCAAAGAAAAGTGGCAACACTGACTAGCAGTAAAAGTAAAACTGTTAGAAAATTGGGTAAGCTAGAATTTACAGAGTTCTGTCTAAAGTTCTACATCTTGACAGCGTTCGTTTATTTAGTGTTGTTTTTTTTTACTTATATAAGTGTCCAGAATATACATCTGTATTATTTGTAGGTTTGTTTATTACATGTAGAAAACACTGAAAATAATCGACTGAGACTGATAAAATTCATAAAATTGCGATTTTTAAAATCTCCAGGTTTTTCCTATTTCCCTGCAGTACATTTCATTTAATCACTATCTGCTATAATTTAGAATAATAAAAAAAAAACTAGGCTCTACTGTCAAATCCGGACGAAGAATAAAAAGCCTTGGACGACTTAGTCAGAGTTCTCTCTCTTGGCCGCACTGCAAACAGTGATCGGAAAAGCCAACGAAACAAACGACACACTTACCTATCATCATACGGTTGCGTGTAGGGCTGCGTACGGTTGCGTGAGGCATCGTGAAGGGATGCGTAGTCATCATACGGTTGCGTGCAGGGGTGCGTACGGTTGCGTGAGGCATCGTGAAGGGATGCGTAGTCATCATACGGTTGCGTGTAGGGATGCGTAGTGTTTGGGTTTGAGTTAGGGGTAGGGTTAGAGGTAGGGTTAGCGTTAGAATTTAGAGTTATGGGTAGGGTTAGGGGTAGTGTTAGGGGTAGGGTTAGGGTTAGATGTGAAAATTTTGACGTAGGATTTCGAAATACTGGCCGACAATCTGATGTTTGTGGGAGTGGCGCCACTGAAACTCTGCCAAATATGACGCCAATAGCGTGCGGCTGGTGCCCCCAATCGTTGGCGAAATGTGCGTTTGACCAGCACCCAGAGGCCCTAGATTGTTTGTGTGTGTATGGGACTGTGCGCGATTATAGGGAACTCCGGCGTCAAAATTGTCAAATCTAACGCTAAACCTAACCCTACCGCTAACCCTAATCCTAATCCTACTCCCTAGCCCTAACCCCTACCCCTAACCACGCAAATTTATCGATCATTAAAGCATACAAATCGGCAAAAACCAACAAACAAAACACACCCAAAAAAAACCAGAATTGTCCTGCAGCGTCGAAAAAAAAACCAGATCTGGGGGAAACAACCAAGCATTGGCAGCCCTGATGTCGACGTGACTGTCTTCTTTGTTTCGTTGGCTTTTCCGATCACTGTTTGCAGTGCGGCCAAGGGAGAGAACTCTGACTAAGTCGTCCAAGGCTTTTTAGTCTTCGTCCGGATTTGACAGGAGTACCAAAAACTAAAGTGATTTATTACTAAATACTATTAGAAATCTTTCATTTTGATTTTAAATCATGGGGAGAGGGGTTGTGTAGATATAGCTTAGTACATGACTACCACAAAGAATGTTGAGATTTTATATTTTCTGCTTTTCTTAGTTCTAAACTAATATTCTAACCGTTAACCCTTAGTTAGTAAATAGTTAAATACGGCTCTCCTCCGAACTTCAACCCGATATTATGGCGGCCATAAAATATCCATACGGGGCTCAGTTCTATTAAAAATATGCAGGCTCCATATAACGAAACAAATGCTCTAACAGGGTCTCAGCGATATGTTACTTGCGGATCTGTTTCTGTGACTATGCCTCACCGCCGACACGCGGATTCTGGCTAAACTAGATGGCTGGGACTCACGAGCAGCAGCTACTGTATCTCCTGCAACTTCCTCCAATTAATTTGCTCGTGAGTCTCAGGCACCTAGTTTAGCCCCCCATCCGTGCCGCGCGTAGCGGCGCAGGGTATACGCTCGGCGGTGAGTTTAATCGTGCTTTGCGCATGCTTTTATCGTCTGCTACTATCATCTGCAGAAACGCTCGAAATTGTCAACGTTCGCTATAATCGTCTGCTACTATCGTCTCTAGTTTTGCTGCGATTTGTTCCTTGGCAGAAAGTCCGTATTTTTCATATGCCTGAGCCCCGTAAGGATATTTTATGGCCGCCATAATATCAGGTTGAAGTTTGGAGGAGAGCCGTTAAATACTAATATTGTACTAGCAGTACTAACTTATGGTTAACTTATGATAAATTGGCCGGTTATCAATATTTTGTCATTTTTATTTTATCAAGACAATTTAAGAAAAGAAAGTAATTGTCATCTATACTTTTGGGGGACATAGTAAAGATGCATGAATTTCATTTTGTCAGCTCTATAACCCCCCCCCCCACTTTCCCTAATTTGAAAAATATAAGTCATCTCATTACAAAAGCTCACTGTATTAGTATCATTCATTTACATCAGTTATAGCAAGTTAGGTTAGTAGCATATCCTTTACAGGACATTGCAGAACCAACCCCAACAGCCTCTGGCTGTTGTGGGGTTTTTCTAGGCAAATTTACGTCCAGTAGTTTGCCATCGCTTTCTGGACGGTCGGCTTTCTTGATACCACTGTCGAAACCAACGCAAGGCCCAACGCAGCTGGTATCGAACCCAGCATCACGCATTACGAAGTGTTCGCATCGACTTAGCCACAGAGCCGACGTTATAGTGAGTAAGCATAATAAATATCACTTCTCCCACACCTCACCCTAACCTTTTTTTCCCCATCCCCTCCCCCCAAAATTTATTGTGTAATTTCAGTAAAATACAAAGTATAGAAATGGTCTGTGGTAAAAGCAGTTTTTAGATTGGACAGGTAAAAGCGCTTTTACAGTGACCGAGTAGATATTGTGACAAAAGTCATCTTAATCAAAGTAAAACCGTGGGAATACTATTATAACTTAGCAATGGCTGGGTTTAAAAAAAACAGCTAGAGGGTTTGGATTTTGTAGCTGATATTGTTCTGCTTAAGTAAGAACTGATTTAACATGCAAAGAAAACCTGATGATTAAGAAAATTTAGCATCACAGTTACAAATCACTTAAGAGAAGACACATATTTTAAAATACAGCAACATCAGATGAAGCAGATGGGACCATGGGGAGAAAGTGAATTAAAGTAACATTTCAGTTTACATATTCTGGTAGCAATTTTGATTCCTAAGACAACACAAAGACAGAAATAATAATATTCTTTGACAAGGCAACAGATGCTTTTAAAAATCTGAACAGAATGTTCATCTCTAAGTTATAGTTTTAAAATAAAGTTACATAATTTTAATACTTATGCCATTTCACCTATAAAATATGTTCAGTGACAGTTGGAGAACCATAAAAGACATAGAACACTAGGTAAATGCATTTAAAACAAAATGCCTAAGACAATTGATTAATATAATATACAATTGATTAATACAATAGGATGTGTCCAGGAAGGCTAACCTGTTCAACAAAGGCAGAAATAGGATGTGTTGACCAAAGGGTACAAACATCACAGCCATGCTGTAAGCAGGCACAGCGCATTTACATCTTTGGATGAATGCAGAAGAAGAAGATGAAGTTGAATGTTTTCAAGAAAGGGGAAGAAATAATATTGAATTAAGAATTGATATCACAGCACTTGGAACACTCCCACAAGCGATCAGTCCTCATCTTTAGCAGCAAGAGGTCCAATTCCGATGGTACCAGTAACTGTCTGATAGGAGAAGAAATATGCAAAATGTCATAAGAGAAATGTCTGAACAACTGCTTGTGTGAGTGGTTATAAGACTAAGGAGACTGCAATATATTGGGTTCATCATGAAGAGAAATGAACAAAGAATAATCCGAACAGGCATTGAAATGGGAAACAGATAGACTGGGGAAACAAGGATATCCAAGAGAAACCCTCAGATGAATGTTGCTGAGAGAGGCCAGAGGTGCTGGCCTGGATTCCATCCATGATGTGGAGTGGATTGCACAGGATAGAGCAAAATGTAGGACTCCAGCTCTATGTGGCATATATTGGCTCAACTAGATGATGTTGGTGATGATGATTGATAATGTAGGATGCTTATCGTAATAAGTTTTAGATTACTAGAATATTCACATTTTCTTTTCCAGAAACTCAAGACTTCATATGTATTTACATTTTACTTTGTAAACTGATCCAGTTTTCTGTAGTTGGAAGAAACCTGAAATGCCGAAAAAATTCAAAGGGGAAAATTCAAAGGCTGTTGAAGCCAAAATTCGAAAGGATGCCATGAAGCAGGCAGAGGCTGAACAAGTTGAAAAGGCAAAAGAAGATGCCATGTGGGAAGATGACGATAAACACATTGCTAAAAAACAGCAGAGAAAGGTATGTTTCCTTTATAAAATTATCCCTTTTTGTAGTGAATAATAAGTTAATAGACTAAAACTTCACTTTATAAAATGAAGAGTATTTTATGCAATAAATTCAGGTCATTGGAGGTTAGGAAAAGAATTTTCACATACTATGAAGTGGCAGTTTTAACTAGGGCCGTACCGAATATTCACTTCGTATTTGCTTCGGGGCCGAATAGTGGACCTAATATCTATTGGGTATTTAGCCGAATACTTGTGGTCCGGTCGAATACCAATAGTGGTTACCTTACACCCGTTTCTGCACACACTGCGATGGACTGAAATAACTCTCATTAACACAATAGTTGCTGTTGCCTAAGTCTGTCGTAGTCGGGGCAACTGCGACCCTGGACAATCGGGAGGCAGGCCAAACAATATCTTGAGGCCGTGGAGATGTGATTTACAGAAGAATCCTTAGAATTCCTTGGAAAGCCCAAAAGAGCAAACCAGATGTTTTTTTAAAGTGGGCTCGTAGGCAGTTTAACACAGATATCAGAAAGAGGCAGTCGTAATTTCTTTTTTTTTTTTTTTTTTTTTTTTTTTTGAGGGGGGGGGGGGGGCATGTTATGAGAGGAAGGAAACTGGAACATATTGTGATCACTGGAAAGATCTATTAAAAAAAAAATTGAAAGGGGAAGACAAAATTAGATGATTCTTGATAGCATCTTGTCATGACATGAAGGGCTGTCAACACACAACCTGATACATGCTGTTGAGGATACGAGATTGTGGAAAGGCATAGTCGCCCGCGCCAGTCAGCAAGACATTTGATGATGATGATAATAGATTGTCGTAATATGCCAGATTTAGTGGCCTCAAATGGCCACATTTCTTTGCAAGTATTTGTCTTCTGTATGTTTAAAAGTATATGCGAATGTTGGGCGGCGTATACTAACCCAACATCCCATATTGTTCCAACGGCTTCGGGCGGAGGAGCGCATTGGGGAGGATACAAGCCTTATCCTAGGAAGAGAAAATGAAACCTGAAAACTTTGTGTTATGGCAGGGCAGACCAGGCCCTTGGCCTTGGCTAACAGCTGGTCTTGGAGGGAAGCTCCGACAGGCGGACAGATAGAGCACTGCTCTTCTGATACGGCAGCTTCTGCAACCTGCCTCGTTCTAAACGTACTGGTTTTACCTTTCCTTTGGAGTAAACAAGGCAGGTCGAGGGAGGGATCATTATGCATGGGCAACATATGGTCTCTACAATACTCTCCAGGCTTTGTGCAATGGAGAGGAGGAACTTCATCCCTGGCCTTAATCAGTCTCACACTTGCCATCGCCATGGGCTGTGAGTCTCGTGCCTCCTCATATCTATCGTCTCGAAAGACGGAAAGGTGCCAATGATGATGGGTATATGGTGCTGGACCTATATTGTTAGAAAATCGGCACTCAGTGAGTGATGAAGTCAGTATCATGCCAGCTGCTTCCAATTCCCATCAAATTTTCTGGTACTAATTTTAAGACTGGGTTCATGTGGCAGCCCACTTTAGTGGGGGGGAAAATCCCTTGTTCAGTGAGGATTCCTGATACATGACCGCCAGGTCATGGCCACAGCTCTTCTTCTTCTTTATCGTCTTAGCGTTCATCAGCTGTAAACTCATTTTACAGGTGTAGCTTATTTGTATGCATACTGTTGGTTCCTTGTTTCTCATGCAGATGCACTCCTACTTAGAAGGAAATACCCACATTTAGTTGTGTCTTGCCACATCCTTATTATGGGGTAGTGGGTCTCCCACATCCACAGAGGGGCAGCTCATTCTGAGTATTTTACTGTTGCCTATTTATGTGTCTATCAGGAAGAGAAGGAGAAGAAAAGGCAGGAGCTGCTGGAGCGTAAGAAAACACTGCAGCAACTTCATGAGGAGGAAATGGACAGCATTAAAGGGGCCAAGTCTCAAGCAGCCAGACTGACACGCGCACAAATCATTGAAAACCAAGAAAGAATGGCTGCAGCCGCTGAAGGTTTGCCTTCCCTTTTGTTTGCATTGATTTTCTTATTCTTGTTCATATTTTTTCTGTGTATTTTTTATTCTTCCTTCCCCCTTTAAAGGGTTGTTGGTAGTTTATAGCTAAGCTGCGATGTCTTATCTTTCAGCCCAATATGCCCAATTTAAGTGAACCCTCAACCCTCTCATCCCGGCAAGCCTAAATCTAGTACTTCCGGGTATATTGTGGTCCTGTAAATGATGATAATTTGCCTTGTCTGCAATGATCTGTTCTCAGAAAGCATAATTAAATTCCATTTGTTCTATTGTGCGCCTGCAGGGTGTTTAAAAGACCAGTATGTTATTATAGTACCTGTGAGTAGCATTTAGGAGATTCCTTTATGACACCAGTGGCTGTTTCAAATGCCAGGCTAATGTCAGGCTTCCCCGTAAGCCTCAGTCATACAGGTCACAGCATGAGTCACCTGATAATATTAGTTTTTAGGATCTTGGGAATGTATTCCATTTAATGCTTCACTTTGTTCCTGTTTGTTGATTACCCTTTTTATATATTTTCCCCCCAAAATCTAAATGCGTTAGTGACCTGTGTAGAATGTATGTTTTTAAAGATTTTTTTCTCTAGGAATTCCCACAGGTTCATATCCCCTCCGACCTTTTTTGTTAACTCTCTCGGGGTGAAATATAATCAGATGTCTTTTACAACATGTTTGTTTAGGGTTTTGTTTTGTGGATTTTTTCCTGCTTCCCCGTTTCGTTAAGCTTTTTAGCCACATTTAATGGAATTCCTTTTTATTAGCTGGACTGCAGTCACCCCATATTTTGACCACTTTTTGCTTAAGGGTGGTGAGTTTATACCACACCCTCCCCTCACAAATGGTGCCCCAGACAGGACACAGAAAAATTCATATCTGACATGTGCCCCATACTGGACAAAGAGAGTTAAATATCTGACATAAGACATACATTTTCATTGTCATCATCCTCAAAAGGCTTGCCAACTGGTGTTGGTGGTCATGCGTTTCCAAACTTGTTATCTCCAGCAACATGCATCGGTTTGTCTGCTGACACCCCTCCATGACATGATAAAAGGCTGTCAAGGATCTTCTTATGTTGTCTTCCTCTGTCTCTTTTTCCATAAATCTCTCCAGTGGTCATAGCATGTTCCAGTTTCTTTCTTCTCATAATGTGACCAGAAATAATTACTACCCATTTCTAAATGTTTGTGATATGTTGTTTCACATTAAAGGGTTAAAAAAATATGAAGAATATGGAATCTGTTGATAGAACACATGTATTTGTATTCTGCTTTGTGGCTGGTAAACCTTTCCAGTGGCTTTATATATTTTTTTTTTTTATTATATCCAGAAACCATAAGTTGTTAACCCTTTGGCTCAGTACTATGGGTATCCCAACCCTTCGGCCTTGATTCCACACTAGGTACCGTAAATCAGGGAGAAATGTGGCTTTTCTGCCTACCCTCGGGAGTGAACCCGGACCACAAGGAGTTCGTCACCCGGTCACCGGTTTAACCAACTACGCTAGACATTGTGGGCTTTTTCTTTTCAGCCTTATTTTTTTTTTAACAAACCTGAAAACAAGGATGAGGTTTCTTCTCCATTTGTATTTATTTATTTATTTATTATATGATATGTTTGAGGTTTCTATTATTGTTTTTTAACAGCTGCCAAAGCTAAGGAAAAATTGACTCATGTTGAGATTCCATTAGAAGAGAATGTGAACAGACTGGAGACAGAGGGAGATGAGGCCAGAACTGTGGAAGAAGCTATTTCTGTGTTGAGGTAAGACAGTCTTTGTGTTTGTGTTTAATTTGTGCTGTATGAACTATTTAAAATATAGCTGTTTCACTGATTCGGTTAAACAGAAACATTTACTTTTTCTTATTTTTTTCTCTCAGAAACCTTATTAAATTTAACAACTTCACTGATTAAATAAATTAACCAGTACTGGAATTATTTATTTATCAGGCATTTTTCATTGAACTCTAGGATTTCTCAAAAATGTGCATTTCTGTATATTAGGTATTCTGACTAGCCAGCTAAGCAATTCCATTTTATTAGGGTTTTTTGGCCGCATGCTGCTTTGTGGTAATACTCTTTCTTTTCTCAGCTAAAGTTTATCCTTTCTCTGTTTAAGAAGAAAAGAGGTTTTAAATCTGTGCTTTGCCAGTTAGGAAAAATGTCCTCTTCCTTATTTCATAATATCATGTGGTTTTTTTTTTTTTTTTTTTGTGTGCAATTATAATGCATTATAAATACCTTTATTAAGATTTCACTAAAAATAGTTTCTTTTTCTAGCAGTTTCTTTGTGTATTTTAATTATTAAAATACTGTGAACATTTTTCAGTGTTGGAAGCGAGCCTGTAGCAGACAGGCACCCGGAGAAGAGAATGAAGGCAGCCTATGCAGAATTTGAAGAATCTCGTCTGCCACTTTTGAAGCAAGAAAATCCAAATATGCGTCTATCTCAGCTGAAACAGCTTCTGAAAAAAGAATGGATGAAGTCGCCACTCAATCCCATGAACCAGAAACATGAAATATACAACACCAAAACATAATATTGTGTTGTGTCGTCTAAACATGGCTTTATTTATATTGTTCTTAAAACTATTTTTTGTTTTCAGTTGGTTTTTTTTTTTTTTTTACTGGGCCAAGGGTGCCAGCAGTGTAAGAATTTCTGTTCAGTAAAACACTTTTAATGTGATCATTTCTGAATGGATCAGGATGTTTTAAGAGTAGAATGTTGACCTTAAGCATTCTGCAGTAAATAAGCTAGATTTCTTTACTTTAAAAAGGACCGACACATTGGAAGTATGAGGCTATGCTTATATTTATATAGATTAGTCCACACACACACACACAGTGGAAGATGGAGTCAACATCATGCTCCCGTCCTTACCTCCCATGACATTAACTTAGCATGGGTCGACCTAGGAGGCAAGGTCAATTTTGAAAGACATCTGACTCGAGGCAGATTTGAACCCAAGACCTTTGGGTCGACAAAAGAGCATCTGGCCACTTCGCTACTGCAGCTCGGTTTCATTACTTTGTGGCACACGAAATATGTAGCTGTAGCAAGATTCACGATGTACTTGCGAGAACAACACATTATTAAATGTTTTTGTGCGTGGGTTTTCTTACACTGAAATTTAGTATAAGCACCAGCAGCCTACCAAGGCATATCTAATGTGAAATATGTGCGAGTCATCCAGAAGCCTTAAGTCTAGTCCATAGGGGGTCTCTGTAGTCACCTGTTGGGGTTCTCATTGAGACTAGGAATTTTAAGAATGTGATTTGTCTTTGTGGCTTAATCCAGATTTGATTAGTTTCACGAGGAAATATTGTGGAGGAAGTTTAAAAACTACCAGCATGATAGAGAAATGTTCTGAAAATATTCTTCCTGATTACTGAGTGAAGAATTGACATCATAGCACACTGGGCATATATAGCACACTATATGTGCTCAGTCTCCCGCAGCATATGTCTTGAGGTGTAGATGCTAACTGTTCCCGTAGCACCCTGATTATACACACGTTGTTCTTCCTTGTACACCCCATGCATTTTTTCAAAATGTTAATCTGTTTCAATTTTTACCTCTCAAGATATACAGATAAATGGTCGCATTAGATGCTGTACAGCCTTCTTCAGTTTCTGGAGATTTATTAAAACATATGTTTTATCAGAAGGGTCACAAAATCAGCTGTATACAAAATGGATGGATTTAACATAACAACAAAAGTCAGTCTAATAATTGTCTATGCTTACAGGGTTGATGATGACCTTGGCTCCCAGGTCAACCCAGCCTTAAATGGGCACCAGGTAAAGGCAGACAGTTTGATGCTGATCACACCACCCACGGAATGGTCTATAAAATATAGGTCTAGCCCTATGTGCCCAATATGCCTGAAGGCGTGGAAAAGGATCCTTTACCGGGTCAATGTTTCAAAACTGCCTGTTAGAATGAAGACAGAAAAAACTGGATTTTGTTGAATTTAAAAAAAAAAAAAAGCTGTTAGTAATACTGTTAGTTTTTTTTTTTTTTTTTTTTTTGGGTTGTGAGGCTGGTTGAGCCGTTTCAATGTCAGGCTCTTGGGTTCGACTCCCAGTAAGTTGATGGAGTTTCCTATCAGGGACAAAATTAAACATCCTAACCTGCACAGTCCATGGCGATAGCACTAGCCATGCGGCCCTAAATCCTCAGGCTCTTGACCCCCTGTCTACACTGCCCTAAAAAGTGGTATATACGGACAGTAGTGGCAGTTTTGTTGTTGTGACAGTGTTCATGTTTACCTGGTTAGAAAGTATGACCTTGTCATTTTATTGTAAAGTATTCTCAGCCAGACTAAGAGTAGAATGTTAGAATTTTATTATTGTAGAACAGTAAAACTGATCATTGCAATGAAAAGGTAACTGAAATTTGCATCCCATGAAAGATTCTCAGGAAATGATATTTCATGTATGTCATTGGTGATTAAACTGGTCACAGTGTACAGGGAGCGTTTATACATTTTTTCCCCGAAGATTTTACTGACACAAATGTCTGTGCGTTCCTTTCTTCTTCTTTGTTCACCAGCTGTAAGCTCCGACTAAAAGTCCATTTGGACTTTGGCTTTTACTGTCTTATTTATGTGCAGTTGGTTGTTCCTTGCCGCTTAGGCAGATGCACTCCGACTTCAAAGGAAGCTCCCAGTTGGAGTGGCAGTGGATATATATTCTTGTTTTCCCAACAATGATGCCCCAGAACCCACACAGGGAGCGTTTCTTCAAAATAATGCTGTAAAACTCTGAAATGTTATATATGTTAGTACGCTGAGTCCATTTTGCGATACATATATGTTTGTATGCTCAGTGTGCTTCTGCAGTTTTCAACTTCTTCCACGGATGCTTATCTTGACACAAATAGCATATTCCAATTTTTTTACGGTAGATATTCTTTTTCCCATGTGAGTTCTAGAGCTCCAAAAAAGAATACCCCCCCCCCCCCCCCCCCCCCCCAGCATGTCATGGGGGGAAAGAACTAATTAGGGGTGTCTACATTAAAGTCAGAATGCATCTGCCTGAGAAGCAAGAAAACAGCAGCCTGCATGCAAATAAATTCTGTAAAATGAATGTGCATGCGGAACTCAAGTTCTGGATCAAGTCCGAAGTCCAGGAGTTGATAAACAGCCAGAGTTTACAACTAGTGAATCCTAAGAAGAAGATATTCTTTGTCCGCAAATATATATCAACAATAAAGCAAAACACCCTTCTCATGCCCTTGGAGCATCAGACATGGAGTGCTAGACCTGTGATTTAAGGCAAATCAGCACTCATTGGGTGATGTCAGCATTGTGCCAGCTGAATTTACTGCCCAGGACATTAGATGGTACCCAATACCTGGTACCTTTTTCTTCTGCATTGACATCAGTCATGCTAAACATTGAGTCCCGTCTGGGTCACAAATAGGATTGTGCGTTTAAGGTCGCCACCGGTCCCCATAGCTTCTCTTGCAATGTGGCTCCCTTGGGCCAGATCCAGTCTTTGCTGGGAGAGGTTAGGGCAGTACTGCAGTATGTGCTCAGGGGTCTGTCTTTCTGCTCCACAATCACAGGCAGCAGATTCTTTTATGCCTATCCTGTACAGGTGTGCTCAAAGACCACAGTGTCCTGTCCGAAGTCTTAAAATTGATGTTTGTTCTTTCCTGTTGAGTTTATGCTGTCACTCTCTGGTCTGTAATCTCCATTCTGCTTTCTCCACTCCCGCTTAAAAGACTGCTTTAGCGCTGTTTTGGTTTCCTTGTAGCTGTGTGGTGGATGAGGTTGTGGAAGATTACTCCCAGCTTTTGCCAACTCATCTGCTCTCTCATTTCCTTGGATACCACAGTGGACTGGTATCCATTGCAAGACCAGTTCTGCTTCCTTGGAGAGTAAGCCAATGTTGGTCCTTAGATCTGCATACCACAGTGGGCTGGTATCCACTGCAAGACCAGTTCTGCTTCCTTGGAGAGTAAGCCAATGTTGGTCCTTAGAACTGCAATTAGTTTGTCTTTGTTTTTTGCTTGATAGTGCTTGGAGAACAGACAATGAGTCACTAAGTATAACAATTTTGTACCCTCTGTATTCTTGAGTGATGAGATGTTGGAAAGGAGGGCAGCTGCCTCAGCTCTGAAGTTAGTGCGGATGTCACCTGCTGGTAGAGAGAGAGAGTTTCTGCTCTACTGCTAGGGGGTTTAATGTATATTCCTACCTGGTACCAAGCATATTTGAACCCTAGACCTTCAGGCAAGGTCTAACCACTACACTACTGCGGCTTCCATATTTGTTGACACATATCACAGAAAATGTGTGTACAATAATATAATTCATACTGTAGTTTGGGACATTATCAAAGCACCATAAACTGTGCAGTAGATGGGTCCCTTAAAATTGACAGAATGAAAAGAAATACTGTTGATGTACAACCCCTCCCACCTCACCAAAGGGTGAGACTTTCAGGACACAAAGACATGGGTATTTCACAGCTGTATTGTGGCAAAAACCCAATACAGTGACCAGCCCTGGGGAAAATTTGGGGGGGGGGGGTTGAGACAAGAATGCTTACCCCTATATGTCCAATACAACCAAAACACTGATGGAGTGAAAGGTAATGAACAAGCGGACCAGCTGGCAAGTATTGCACCATTACATACAGGGAGATGCAAGGATAGAGCAGATATCATCAACATGGTATGAACTAGAATGGCAGTAGTAATGAATCACTGTTAACACGACTGCATGAACTCAAACTGAAGTACTTTGGTGGAGTCTTTGATGTCAAGATAAGAACTTTGGTGAAGTCTTTGATGTCAGGATAGGAGACATTATAACCAGCTTCTCATGGGAACAATCAGTAGAGGTGCCTTGGAGTGGTTGCTGCATCAGAGGACTGAGCAAGCGTAGGAATGCTCAATGTGATGTCAGTTGTGATAATATAACATACCCAAAGCTGACAGTGCAAAAGCCATTGATGTATAGTGGCTTGCATGCTAGTCCTGCACATCCGACAGTAATAAGTGCAAATCCCCACCAAGATGTTTTTAAAACTGACCGCAGGCTTTCAGTCTAAAATTTATGCTATAAAATATCTAGAAGAAGCTGGCCACATCAAGCACTTATTGGCATACACAAATATGACGGGTGCAAGCATACACTCACTACACCTCAAAGCATGGAAATATGCCAAACTTTTTGTTTGTTTGTTTCTAAAGCAGTCACAATCTGTCTACACCACCCCTCCCCTACATATTAATCAAACAACAAAACTAGTAGATTTCTAAAGCAGTCACCATCTGTCTACACCACCCAACCATACATATTAATCAAACAACAAAACAAGTAGATTTCTAAAGCAGTCACAATCTGTCTACATCATCCCTCCCATTCATATTAATCAAACAACAAAACTAGTAGATTTCTAAAGCAGTCACAATCTGTCTACATCACCCCTCCCATACATATTAATCAAACATCAAAACTAGTAGATTTATCTGAAAAAATCTTGTAATGACAAAAGATAAAATTGCATTTATTGATGAAATGAT